TTCGAAATATATAATCCAGCAGTCCGGGATCTAAATATAAAAGAAAAAATGATCATTAGTATAACGATCGTTAAAGAAAGTAAAAAAAAAAAGAAACTTCAAAGTATTTATCTTTGAAGTTCTTTAAATGGGAACCTGTGTCTTTCGGCTTCCTTTACCTAAAAAAAAGAAGTATGAACGTTAGTTAACGTTTGTCAATAAATTAATTAAAAAAAAATTTTTTTCGAAGGTTTTACCTTCGATATGGAAGTCCGGAACTCATTTTCGACTTCCTTTACCTGAAAAAAAAGGAAATACAAACGTTAGTTAATGTTCGTCAAATAACTTATTAAAAAAACTTCGAAGGTTTTTTATCTTCGAAATGGAAGTCTGGCGATGTCTTTGGACCTACAATAAAAAAGAAATGAACGTTAGTTAACATTCGTTAAACAAAATTAAAATTAAAATTATTTTTTTTCGAAGTTTACCTTCGAAATTCTTTCGTCTAAGAGCCAGAAAACAAAAACCCTACAAAAAAAAAACAACCAAAACATTAGTAAACATTTCGTAAATTAAAAGCAACAAAAAAATATAAAGAATTTTGAAGTTTTACCTTCGAAATTCTTTCCAGGAGGTATCTAGAATGACGAAGACCTACAAAAAAAAAGAAACGTTAGAAAACGTTTTGTAAATAAAAAAAACATAAAAGAAAAAAATTTCAAAGGAATTTTACCTTCGAAATTCCGTCCAGTCTCCAGGAAGCCATCAACCTACAAATAAAAAGAAAAATGAAACATTATTAACGTTTCGTTTAAATAAAATAAAAAAAAATATTAGTTTTGTAACAAAAAGTTCATTACGAAACTTACCATATTGAAAATTCTGTCCAGTCAAGCCGAAAACCTACAAAAAAGAATAAAGAACGTTAGAAACGTTCTTTTATAAAATAAAATAAAAATTTTTAAGTTTCGCAACGAAAATCGTTGCGAAACTTACCATTTAGTTTCAGATTCTTGGAGTATCAGAATCTACAAAAATAAATAAGAAACATTAGTTAATGTTTCTTAAAAAAAAAAAAAATTTTCATAACGAAAATTCGTTATGAAACTTACTTAGCATCTTGAAAGGGAAACTTACAAAAAAAGATAAAGGAAGCATTAGTAAACACTTCATAAATATAAAAAAATCGGTTTCTTTTTTTAAAAAAAATCAAAGTCGAACGAACTCACCAATTTCGTTCGTCTTGTACTTTGAATCTCCCAGAACCTAAAAGAAAAATAAAGAACCAACCGGTTAGTAAAATAAATTATAAACGAAAAGCGAAAATGAAAAAAATACACTCACCTGAAGTCTTGGAGATTTACCGAAACCTAAAGAAAGAAAGAAAAAAAGAAAAAGTTGGTAAAAGGAAATTTGAAATGAAAAAATGAAAATGAAAGAATAAACGCAAACTCACCCGAAGTCCTGTCTCTTATACACATCTAGATGTGTATAAGAGACAGCCTGAAGTCTTGGAGATTTACCGAAACCTAAAGAAAGAAAGAAAAAAAGAAAAAGTTGGTAAAAGGAAATTTGAAATGAAAAAATGAAAATGAAAGAATAAACGCAAACTCACCCGAAGTCTTGAAACCTAAAAGAGAAATAAAAAAACCAGTTAGTAAAAAAGAAATTCAAAGAAAATCGAAATGAAAAAAATGCAAACTCACCCGAAGTCTGCGTTTTCCTATCACCTGGTGACCGGAGACCTACAAAAGAAAGTGACGAACGTTAGCATGACACGTTTCATCGTGGTTTAATCTTTCTTCCAAGGTTTCCCGAATGGCTATTTTTAATAGTTCTTGGTATAATCTGACTGGTAGATGAAGTATATGATTAGTTTTTGTGTTCCGGATACCTAAAAAACAAAGACGAACGTTTAGGATAATATATTTCGTTAAAATTTAATAAAAAAAAAATTCTACATCTTACGTCTTACCTTCGAAATGGGCGGCAAGAAAACAAGAAACGTTAGTATTAACGTTTCGTTAAATAAAATTAACAAAGAAAAAAATATAATTTTTCAAAGTTTTACCTTTGAAATGAGCGACCAGGAATCTACAAAAGAAAAAAAAGCGAATGTTAGTATTAACGTTTCGTCAAATTAAATAAAAAAAAAATATATAATTTTTTGAAGTGTTACCTTCGAAATTGGAGACCAGAACTCGTTTTCGGCTTCCTTTAACTAAAAAAAGTAAGACGAAACGTTAGTTACTGTTCATCAATATAATTAAAAAAAAAATTATTATTTTTTTTTTTTGAAGGTTTTACCTTCAATATAGGAGCCGGAACTTATTTTCGGCTTCCTTTAACTAAAAAAAAAGATGAAACGTTAGTTAACGTTCGTCAATAAAATAAAAAAAATTAATTTTTTTTTTCGAAGGTTTGTTTTACCTTCGATATAAGAGCCCGAAACTCAGTTTCGGCTTCCTTTAACTAAAAAAAAAGATGAAATGTTAGTTAACGTTCGTCAATAAAATAAAAAAAAATAATTTTTTTTTTTCAAAGGTTTGTTTTACCTTCGATATAGGAGCCCAGAACTCAGTTTCGGCTTCCTTTAACTAAAAAAAAGATGAAACGTTAGTTAACGTTCGTCAATATAAATTAATTTTAAAAAAAATTAATTTTTTTTTTCAAAGGTTTGTTTCACCTTCGATATAGGAGCCCGGAACTCAGTTTCAGCTTCCTTTATCTAAAAAAAATAAGATGAAACGTTAGTTAACGTTTGTCAATAAAGTTAATAAAAAAAAAATATTTTTTTTTTTTCAAAGGTTTTACCTTCAAAGTAAAGTCCGGAGCTGTTTTTGGCGTCCAGGACTTCAGAAAAAAAGTAAAACGAACGATAATACCGTTCGTTAAATACTAAAAATATAAAAATAAAAGTCTGTGAGCTGTTTTTCAGCGTCTAGGACTTAAGAAAAAAAGTAAATATTCCTTCAAAATGGAGAGTCCAGAACATAATTTCTTGAAGTCTACCTTCAAAATGTCCAAAAGAAGGTACAAACTTCATCAACTTCAAAGAAACTCGAAGCTTAAATAAAAACACTAAAAAATATTGACTAATTTTTTGGTATCTTTATAATAATTTATTTCTTTAAAAGTGGTAAAAAAAAAAATATTTTTTCAAAGTGTTGTAAGAAAAATTATTTTTTTTTAAAGTGTTAAAGTGTTGCAAAAAAAAGCTTTAAAAAGTTTGTGTTAAAACAAATGCAAAGTTTATCAAAATAAAAACTGAAAGAAAGTTTGTAAAGTTTATCAAATAAAAAAAGAAAATGTGAATTTAAATTTTTGATAAAATCTGCAATTTTGGAGATTATCGCAGATATTTATATAAAAAATTGTCATAAAAATCGGAAACTTGCAAAATTGCAGATTATTGCATAACTTTGTAAAAAATAAAAAGCAGAAATCTGCAAAATTGCAGACTTCCGCATAAATTCACAAAAAAATGCAGAGATCTGCTAATTTTACAGATTTCCGCAGTTCTGCATCTTAAAAAATTTCCCGATGATGAATACTCGAGTATATTCAAATATATTCGATTCCAAACACTACTCACCGATACCTAAAAAAATAAATAAAAAAATTTAACTTTTTTTAAAAAAAAGTAGTTTCAAAAGAATGAAACTTTCAAAACTTACCAATCCAAAGTGAAAGGCGCCGATACCTAAAAAAATAAATAAAAAAAATTTAATTTTTTTTTTAAAAAACAAAAGTTTCGAAAGAATGAAACTTTTGAAACTTACCAATTGGATCCAAAAAGCTGATATCTACAAAAAAAAGAAGGAAAAAAATAAAACTTTTTTTAAAGTTAGATTCAGCACATAAACCATAATTGACTAGTCTGATCAGCCAAATCTTTACCAATTTCTGGTTTATATGATCTGATTGGCAATGATTACTGGTAGTGCATATGACTGTAACTGAATAATATGAATACTTCAACCGGCAATCATGTCGGTTGAACATGATAAAATTGCAGATTGAACTGATATTTCAATGAAAAATAAAAGTGAAAATCTGCAAAATTGCAGATTATTGCATAATTTTATAAAAAATAAAAGCAGAAATCTGCAAAATCACAGACTTCCGCATAAATTCACAAAAAAATGCGGAGATCTGCTAATTTTACAGATCTCTGCCGTTCTGCATCTTAAAAATTTCCTNTCCTTTTATGATCACTGGATGACGAGATATTCCGCTTAAACGCTTTTTTGGAGTTTCGGAGTTTCAGCGTTTTGACAAGCAACTCTACAAGTGGGAAGAGTGATTGTCATTATTTATTGGTTTGGAAATGGCCGGTCTTTATATTATTTTATGAAGACCTTTATCAGATTAATAGGTTTATTCAATATAAAAATCATTTATTATATGAAGACCGGTATGAGGACTGGTCAGTCCTCAGGACCGGTCCTACTGCGCCACAAAAAATGCAAGACCGCGGTCCGGTCCTACAAGTCCTGGGACCGACCAGTCCAGGACCGAGTAGGACCGGTAGGACCGATGACCATCCTTAAGCATAAAAGCATTGGGTCCAGTACTCCAGTAAATTTATGGTTCTTGGACCAGATTTGCCTGAACATTATCCCGGTTTGGTATTAGGAAATCCGTGGTTGCAAAAAAAAATAACGCAACTATTGAATATTGATATGTGTAATTCATTACTGACTATAAATGATGATTTCGCCGGCTCGAAAGCAATGTGATTGATCATACATGTTAAAGAAAAAATATATTTTTTTAATTAAACATCACGCGTTTTTATTAAATATATTCAGGAGAAAAATGGATATAGCAGAAATAAGGCCATCGAGAGCAGTGATTAGTGTTTCGAATTCAAGACATTTAGGTAAATAACTTTTCTCAACTTTGATCTAGAGGAATGCTCGAGTCTATTTAACAAGAAGTTAGTAACGAAAAATTACGAAACATTTCGGTAAATTCAGAACCCTAGATCCAAATCACAATATTTATTCATGACGATTATCAAATTCACAACCCGAGAGGTTATTCTATTCTTGTCAAGATCGAAGTTTGAACAATGCAATGAACGCTGTTATGTACACAAAGCTGGCATGCAAACATTTTTATTATTTTGATACACATTATAGTATGTTCACAACAACATTGATAAGTTATTGTGCATTATACATTGACAGATGAAAAATAAAACGACTATTCCTATTACAGCAAAACCCTAATTTTGTCAACAAATATCAAACAATCAAGATAAATTCAGTCATTTTTTTTCATTATATTGTGCCATTTGAACTCTATTAAATGCACTAATATTAGCTTCCCAATTGTGGCTTTTAATTAGATCAATTGCATCCGGATCATTAATTCCAGTTGAATACTTATTTCCATCATTGTCTTGAACAGTAACGTGTGCATGTCTATGAATGTTGTGCTCCGGCTTTTCTTGAGGTGAATTCGGTTTAGGGTCAAATTCACTAACAATACGAGTAGTTACATGAAATTTTTCCCACTCCTGATCTTCGGGATAATAAATTATCTGTTCTGTTTGCTTTATTTTTCCACCAGAAAGTACTTCAGTGGTCACATGGCCTTTGGACCATAGATTGCCTTCTTCAACTTCTTTGATTAGAGCCTTCTCTGCATCCTCGTTCATGTTACCATCTTCATAATTATTCCAGTTATCCGAGCTATCATTAGGTCTGACACCTACTTCGTGAACAGTTGCAAAGGCATAATTTAATGTCAAATCCGAACCCAAGATGGAACTATAAACAGGTTTGTCGTTTGTCATAATTTATTATCTGGTTTCAACCTTTTTTTAGGTATTTGTATTTAAGAGAAGAATCTTTTGTAGACAGGAAAATTGCTGGTTCCTGAGAGTTTGTAGGTATTATAGTGACTTCGTTGACAGCAACTTTGTTAAATAATTTTTTAATGTCTAGCGTTTATCAGTTGTAGTCAATTTATAAATAACGATTTCCAAATCTGTAAAATGATATCTTATCGACGACGAGTTTCTATATCCGTAAATGAAATCAAAGAAATACCCCAGCCATCTATCTGGCACAACATAATCATCAGCAATATCCCCAATAAATTTTCTATCCGATTTTTTTACTGAGCCACATCACACAACAGGTTTGTGTGACATTAATTTATAATCGAAAAGAAAATATTCACCACTACCTCTATTTTTTCCCGTGAAAAAAGTCTACATGCAACACAGGACCTCCATAAATGTTAATACTGACGACAAAAGCATATGTTATGAAAGGCTGAGGACTTTGGAATTTCGAGATCGCCAGGCGTAAAACCAGCTTTATGTCTTGCAGGGTAGATCGTTATTCGAGTGAGCGAAAAAATATTTTTGCCTTTAACATCATCTTTAAAACGAAAATGGAGGATAATGCTATTTGCCATTTCCTAAATACATGAACCTATAGTGAGAAAAAACACTTCACCCGCTCCCATACATACAGTACATAATTTAGGGCATATACATACCTTATTTTGCGTTATTTTCTCTGGGAAAGTTTTTTGCGGAAAGTTGGCTGAAACTTCCACATACCCCTACATGCTTTATACCTTGCTGGGAAAAAGTTAAGGAGGTATGAAGCATAATTAGTATTGTCGTCTGATGCCAAGAGTTCCATGAAAGCACATGCAAATAGAATCATGATCTTGTAACTGGCGGGCATGTTACTTACAAGAATTTTCATCTCTACAGGAATGATTTTGGTAAAGATGTAAGAGAACATATGAAACCGGAAGCTGAGATTGGGAAATATTTCCCTGAGTTCCCAAAGGATCCTCCAAAGAATTAGTATTTTTTTTTATTTCTAGTCGCAATTTTATGTATTGTAGCCGGCTTCCGGCAACGATTTATTTCATAAATAAAGAATATTATTTTATCGAATGTACTGTACACGAGAGAGCGGGTCACGTGTAATGATGCGGTCCATGCAATATATTTTTATCCGAACAAAATCTAGCCTATATAAAAAACGTAGCACTATATCAGGTGATAAGTGAGATGACTCCTCATCACCATCACAACGATTCAGAATTATATTCTATGCTAGAAGAAATTCGAATGCCAACAACGTAATTCAGAATTCTTACTTCAACAGCTACTTTGCTCAACACTACACATATTGTAGGTTTTAGAGAAACCTCTCAGCAAATCAACAGAATGATATGTAATCTGCTTCCGTCCCTGAAAATAAATTCCTGATCTCACAGGCTAGAGATATTGTCAATTCTGTACAATGGGGTCCATCTTCTTCAGAAACTATGTTTAAGCCTAAGACGATTCTCCCCTTTCCATTCATCTTCAACCAGGTGCTTGTGTGATGTATCTCAACAATTCTCCACGGCATTTGCAATGGTACAATAGGTATGGTTACTGATGTAAACTCTTTAGAAGAGTATGCTAGAATCACTTTTCCTGTTAGGGCTCCTATTATCAACATTGACATTTATAAGCAAACCCATTATTTTAAGATCAATGGAAACAATTGCAATCATATGCAGTTTCCCTCACAAAATTGTTTCACCCTTACCGTTCACAAAACTCAGGGTTTGACCTTACCAAGGGTATGCTTAGCATTGGATGGGAACATCTTTTCACCTGGTCAAGCTTATGTTGCTCTTAGTAGATGTTCTTCCTGGGATAATATAGAAACATCTCACCTTGATAGATCAGCTTTCATGGTTGATCAGGATGTTATCTTGGAGTATCAAAGGTTGACTGACATTTCTAATACAAATCCTCACCTCTTTTCGTGATTATTATAAGATGCTATCCCGATTTTAAAAATAAAATGTTCTTTTATTTAAACTGATTATTTCATCTATTTATACCAAAAAAATTTAATTACGCATTTTATTAATTATTTAGAACCCTAAGATTACATAGTTTTAATAATTTTATAAAATACTTAGAGTTACCGATAATAAATTAAGAATAACTCTATAACTAACTGATCTATCTAAATGATGAAAATTTAAATTCTAATTGTGAATCTAAATTATTGTTCGTTGATCGATCTAAAAACTATTTTATAATTTTGCTAATATTTCTCATCTGTTTTTGTATTATTTTTATCTTTAAATTGTGAACACAATAAACTAACTACATAAATCATTAAATTATTTAAAAAAAATTGCAAAATCGAGAAATTAATATATTAAAAAATATCTTATTAAATTTACCGATCATGTTACATATTTATTTTACGATCTACCTATCTCTATTATAATTATGTAAGATTATCTTCACGTGCTGAATTATTAGCCAATAACAGAGCACAAAGCTTTCACGAATCTCAAGATGTCAAATTGACTTTGACAAAAAAGATCGATGGAGTTACAGTTGAATAATGCATTTAAAGACCAGGATATACAGAGCATTATAGATACACAGCGGATACGATGAGGTAGTCAATAAAACCCAAAAACATATCGATACATGGAACATCATAATGGATACAATCATGACAATTATTTATAAGTTAGTGAATCTATGGAATAAGTGGCAACGAAATTCAAATGCCGAATTGTTTAGCAATGAAGATAAGAAAGATCAATGGTTTGGCCGCGTTAATAAATATAATAACGACTACAAAAATTCATCTAAGTGACACACAAGAGTTGGGTTCATTAAGCTAAAAAGCAAAATACGAGCTAGACAAAAATTGGAGTTGCGTATTTTTGCGCGAGGGAAAGATAAACCGATTCGAGATGCGATGCGCTGAAATTCGAACTAATCAAACCAAGTGGCTCGATAATGTATTAGACAAACGGAAACCTCCCATCATTATAGATAAAGCACGTATTGTTAATGAGAACGATCCTACCATCATTACTCACCCTAAGCTGATAGTTTCCCAATTCCACGAAAACCAATTTAAAGCCCGTAACACGGATCTAGACAATTTGTCCGAATTTTGGCAAGAAATATGTAAACCAAAGGATAAATATGCGGGAGGCATGGAGACACTCAATTAGCCGATTACGTTCGAAAAATGGATGCATATTTATGTCAATTTAAGTCTGGCTCTGCAGCAGGACCATCGGGAATGACAATTTCCGAATGAGGGGTACCTAATATTAATACAATTTTTTAATTATTCTCTTAAGCAAGGTTTTACCTTCAATTTGGTCAACGTCTTTAATAATACCAATACCGTTGCACTTTTGGATTGTTTTAGGAAAGCGGTCACCAAGCTTATAACCAACGGACTTAGTTCAATTATTTCATCCAATAATATATTAAAGGGCTGAACTTCTGCGGTTTAAAGGAAGAGGGCACCAGCGCACCACTATCCATCCTCACAAATATCATAGAAGATTCCCAAGTAGTGTTGTCGGTAACATCATGAGGCCATCGATATATTATACCCTCGAACTGTTTTGAGTTGAAAGTGGTAAAAATAGAGGATAAAGGATCTTCCATAACAACGGAGAGATGGCGTCTCCCTGATCTATGCCGTCCTTAGCAACAAAATTGATGTAGTAAGTGAGGGCGCTCAATTTTCGATGTAGGAAGAGATTAATAATCCATTTAATGATTAGCCTATATGGATGACACATGCTTTATAGAGAAAAAGTACAAAACAATATAGATCTAGCTAATGAATTTTATAGAATGCACGATATCCACATCAACGGCTCGAAGTTAGAACTGATTGTCTTGAACCCGAGTAATTTATAGAGGAACAGTATGTAAATGTGACAAATCAAAATCGAAGCCACAAACTCGGAGATCAGATATTTGGGATAAACAAACGATCACGGGCGAAGCAACTACTAGACTTAAGGATGTCGTCAACTCATTCATTGGAAAATTCGTCACACCTTATATATTTAACTAATAAAGTCTTAATTCCAAGACTGATTTATATAGGTCAATATTTTACGTTATCGGAGCACGATTGGAACAATATTTTTCTCCAGTCATCAAAGACCTTCCTTCTTCTTTTCACATAACGCTCTCATGCGTGAAGGTACGATAGGATTACCATCACCCATGGGCACAACTCCACTCAACAGATAGCCGAATTTGCACATAGAATTAATAATCCCTCCTTGGCTCAACGGATCAGATTGAGATCCGCACAATTGAAAGCTCTCATTACACTCCCATCTTTGATATTGCTCTATCTGACGTTCCGAATCTCAGATATTTTTCCGTTCATAATGTCAACTTGCATATACTTTTGGCGGCTCGTACTATGAATATTTCATTCTAAACTGGCAGATTTGATCGAGGTCATTGGTCGATCAAAGGAGGGCTAACTTCTCTTTACCAATTATTTCAATAATATAATACTAGAAAACTTATGTTCCGCATTAAGCGTTTCTCATCTTATTCATTGGTAACAATACAGACATCTGACGAGATTATCTTCTAAGCACACTCTCGATTATTTTTAGTTTAGATGACCAAATATAGTTTAGACTTTTATCACATTATATATGTATTTTTGACATCATTATTGGTAATATAATAATATAATGCATTTAATGATAAAAAAGGAAAAAAAAAAATAGTTAAATTATTACCAGAATAGCAGGTACTCCGAAATCACCAAGAACGTCGAGTCAAATCTTCATTAGATACATTGTCATCGAATCTCTTGATTAAAATGAACGGTTTACTTCTTTTGTCTTTCGGTATATCTTAAAGTTCCTTTTGACGTATACACATATCATGAACTTATCGCGGTGTCAATCACACAATCATAGCTTCATAGAAAACCCTGTAAAAAATCTGATCCGTGTTTTATCTTTCCATGTTTTTTCCGTGAATGTATCATTTTCATGGAATTTATAGCCTTAAATCATGGAAATTTTCATCTCGCTAACACGGATATCCGTGAATGTATCATTTTCACGGAATTTTTACGGAAGACACGGAGAAATAATGGAAATATTCGGATAAAAATTTTTTATAGGGAAATAATTATCTGCCCACATGTAGACTGGATCAAACTAAGTTACTTTCTAGTTACTTCCTATAATCAAATCATCTGAGGGCAAAATATTATTACATGACGATTGGGTTCTTCTCTTTAATCTTACCAGTAAAGAGTCAAGCAACGGCACCACCATTACATCGGGAATTAACCATAGCTCCAATCACCAAAACAGACGTATGTGTATGGATAGAGGGATGTATTGAGAACCAAGAACTGAAACGTGAGCTTATAACAGTCCGCAATGAACTGAAACATAAATCGGCAGTAACATTCTATACCGATGGATCGTTAGTTTACAAACACATATCATCACAAACAACGGGATGTTGATTTAGATACACCAGTTGTCGATGGGGCCGCTTTCATTGTTCAGGACAGTTAATGCGAGCTTATCATTATGTCTCTTCAACCAGATCGGAACTAGTGACGATCTTTTTAGTTCTTCTATCGGCACTATGTGCTTCTAAAGTTACCATTCATACAGATAGTCAAGCTGCAATTCACCACTAATCATATTCAATATTTGTCTACAAGAACAAGTAGATGTTTTAGCTAAAGAAGCAGGGAATACGGAGGGTCATTTTAATAATAGTTTTAACTATAGCCACCCTAATATGCGTTACTTTTCCTCATTTTCAAAGATTCCCAATTGAACAGAAATTTAGAAAATTCGTGAAACCATTTTTCAGACTTATGTCGCGGCAGAACATTCATTACTTCTCGTTAGCGACAACATAGGCGGGACAAACATGGACATCATTGGTTGGGATATTACATGGTCGATTTTCAAACAAATCAAAGGCTTTAAATGTGACTCAATGACCAATCATAAGCTTTTTATATTTATTAATAAATTATTTTATAACCTTCTCCCGACTGCGAATATACTTAAACGCAGAAACAATAATCTTTACACAGACCTGAATGTCCTTCATGCCAAGAGAATATTATTGAAGTCTCATAACATCTTATGGATGGTCATTCATACTCGGGTCAGAGACAAGAATTACACCGACGATTGCACGATTTGGCTATCAGCTATAAAGTTATTACAACAGCAGAATCTGCATTCGTTTCCGTACAGTACAGTTTAACTTTTCGTACAGTACAGTTTATCTATCTACCTTGCATTAACATGCATCGTAAATCAAAATAAGAAAATTCATTACTTTAGATATTATGACTGAAACATTATTTTGACGGAAAGTTATACTTCGATAATATCACGAAAAATATTTCACATGTTTGAGTTTTATTGGAGTAAAGACTAGAAAAATGATTATTTATCACCTTATTTAATAATTATATATCAGAATAACAAAAATTTATAAAAAATATTCCTTTATTTATAATATAACTATAAAAAAAAATAATAAAAAAATACACTGTAAATTGTAATAATTTATCTATTGAAATACAGGTGTATGATAGTTAAACATTACTTTGCAACTTAAATATTTCGCTTTCTCGACTCTCGAGGTTCCCAAGCATTATTTCGTAAGTCTATAACATTCTAAAAAAAAAAATCAAATATTTATTAGCAATATAATATATTAAATATAATACAAAATTATTCAACAAAATTTACCATTAACAAAAATTTAATGCGGATTGACAAATTCGGAGATGTTGATAGCTCCTCCATTTGTTCAAAGTATGATTCCATTTTTTGATCACGTTTGTTTGATTCGATATGATGATCAAGTTGTTTTCCTACTATATTCATTAATCTACATAAACTTTCCATTTCTACTTCCTCAGGTAATTCTAAGAATTTCTCAATACATTCATATATATCTCTCTTTGCAATAATTTTTGATTTAAATAATTCGCCAATGAAACTAATTAAACCAAGACCTTGCCGCCTAATCTTTGCAGCCGCATAATATTCATATGACATCAGATCCGGTTCCCCTTTTTTATTGAGGGGAAATTCAATGTTAACCTTCCAGGAACCATTCTTAAAATCATTTTCACAGCGACCAATAAGATACTTTTTAAATAATCTACCGCCTTTAGGAAACTCATTCCCGAATTTTTTTAAGGAAATTATTTTAGGATCGACTCTTTCTATCATCCTACAGCAAAGCTTAGCATAGTATATTGCACAGAAATTCGATTCATCAAGGGATTCAAATATAAGTTGAACTATTTCCCTAAACATATATCCATCTCTTCTATTGTTAGCATAGTAAATAATTTGATTTGATATAGAATCAAAGTTTTTTAACGTCAATTTATTTAATAACGCTTTGATTTTACATTGTGCTATGCGAAAAGGGATGAAAAATTCAATTTGTCTAGGTATATTTAGAACTTGAAGCATTTGATGTACATCTTGGATTATAGGTTCACTGGGTGGATGAGGATCTGCTATAGATGATATTACTGGAGTTAGTAATTGTGTACTTCTAAATAAGATCGATCAAGTACGAATTAAGTCCAAAAATACCTGAAGTAGAGTCTCTCATTAACGTAGTAGTAAATCTTTCTTCAAATTGGTCTTTTTGAAGTTGATTTGAACTAATTTCTTTATTAAGGATTAATTCAATATTTGGTCTACTATTGTGAACACGTAATGTTTTTATATTTGAACCAACTTTGACGGTAATATTTTTATAGAGTTCTTCGTTTTTTAAAATGTCGATTAAGTTTTGTAATAAGTCTGACAAGAGACTTTTATCTGTCATTTTTTTTAATGAAAATGAACGGAAGGAAAGACCCTATAAATATTATTTTTCTGTAATAAGTGCAACGTTTAGTTTGTTACTTTTTTAGATCAAAAATGGTTATCTTTTGTACCCTTCGTATAGGAATAAATCATGTATATCTTTTCATTTTGAAACATTGACTAAAGTTATTATAATGACAACCTTAAAAATGTTTTTTTTCGGCCGTATCTATTACAATATACATTATTTTGCAGAAGTTTATTACTTTATTATACCCGCCATTCAATGTTTCAGATATTTATGATGCACGTCAGTGTGCATCAAATAGATGAGTCAATTAATTTAAATAAAATAAATAAAATTATGAATTATGATGTTCCCCTCATTATTTAACGAATAAAGGTTTATACAATCATAATTAAAAAATGCGAATTGGCGTTACGGAAAAGTCTCGTTTTTTTTCGTACAATTTTAGGTTAAGGGGGAATAAACATAGTTGCTATATTTGTAATCAAGCGGCACTCAGTCTAATTAATTATACAATATCTGATATAATTAGAGTCGAATCAAACTTTATGCGACTTCGATTTTTATTGGTCAATTGGATCAACAAAGATGGGACTGCGGGCTGTGCCAAGCAAATAGTAGTACAAATATGAGTTTAATAATTGTATCTAATTATGGCACTTTTTTCATACATTCTTTTGGGATTATAATATGCATTATAATATAACTTTCTTTAACCACAACTTGTATCATCATTTATCAAAAATATACTATCAAAATAATAGAAAAAAATTTTTAATTTCTTTTTTTAAATCTATAATACAAATAAATAATGTATAATACCTCGTTTATTTTATGCATACACCATAAATTATTTGTTCTACGTACTCTTAAGTCCGAGTTTCAATAATAACAGAGAATATTCTTATTGTTCTTAAAAAATTTATTCTCTATTATATGAACCATTGAAACAAGTATCATCAATGATTTGTTACTATTATACAATTTTATTCTCTTAATTTTTATGTAACATATTCTTTCATCGCCTCCATATTTAGTTCTATAAAAATCAAGGATTGAATGATTTTTTGTTTCGCATATTATTTTCTCTAACTCAAAATGTATAATTCACAATCGGAGAAGTCGGAGAAAAGAGTTATTAAATGTTATAACGTACTTGATTATGATTAAGTCACTTTATTTTAGTTATTTCACAGAATTTTTACAGAAAGTATTATAGCAATTTACTATATCAAATCAATTTACATCTTACATTGATTTTTTTTCATGAATTAATTTGTTACCCATTGATACAGAAAAAATATATGCCTTATCAAATCATAAGATGGTATTGAGCACGTTCAGAATTTTTGTACTCATGATGGTCGAATAATTTCTACCGAGTTCCGAATATTTATGAAACTAATACCCTGTCTCGGCCGTAATTAGATATTATCTTGCGTCACGTTTCATTTATCAAAATAGAAAAGGGAGTTCGATTAAAAAAAAAAAAATATGTTTTTTTAACCATATATATGCTTGTAGGCTTGCAAAAGAAACTTTATTGTCAATAATTAATGTATCAAATCGCTTACATATTTGTTTCAAATACGTGATAAATAAATTTTAAAAAATTTCGTTCAATTGTTGGACTTTGACACATTAATTTGGTATTTTAACAAAGGCAATTAATATTTTCTTACAACATGAGTTTTAAATCTTAATAACAATTTTAGATACGGTACAATTGTGGGACATTCATTTTATTGATTGAAATCAATAAACCTTAATTTGCGTATTAAGATCCTTATAATAATCAATTACTGTAAAAGATACATATTCGCTTAGTTTAATTTAAAATTAAAAATGAAAACTTTTTACGTTTTTAAAAGAGATATAAACATGATAAACTTTATTCAATAAAATTATAAATGGAAACAAAATATGTGTAATATCCGTTCATATCCGATAAACAACAAATGCCCATTGTGTCCTAATTAAAACATGAAGAGGTTTGAGAAATTATTATGTACTACATGTCATTACAATATTACAGCAATAAAAATGTAAAACTATTGTTCCTTTTACAACATTACTATTGTTTTTTTTTAAACTTCATTAAAAAAGTTAAAAGTTTGTTGAATCAAATTTAGGAAATTATTTACTGATCCCGGTTAAAATTTAGTTATAAGCTTAACAAATAAATGTCAAATGATCAACTGCAAACATAGAGGTTGTAGTGAACTAGTGATTGCATAATAATTACCATACTCTCGTTAATTGTACGTGATATATTTACCCAAGCGACTCCGAGACCGGTTTCATATCAAACCGGTTCGAATGCCAGTCCGTAATTTACTAAAAAAGGAATTATTAAAGAGATTATAAACTTGTTTAGACTCGGAGATCGACTAATGCAATAACCGCATATGACTATGTGTAATCTATCGATTTCCCTAAAAAAATTCTTTCTTGCGAAAGATATTTTTGCATTTATTCAATAATTTTTTATGTTTAAAGAGCTATAACTTTACTACCTTTTTTATCAACACTATTACAAGCAAGCTAGTATTCCTGCTTTCCACTTAGAAATTTCGCAACTATACGGAGAGGCGGGAGAGCTTCGTCCGTTCACGTGCTTAAGAGATTCAGACATCTCTACAAATAATAAGAGTTTTTATTTCATTTTACTTTTACCAGTATTTACAAGTGGCGCTTCCTCGGAAGTGAAAGAAAATATGGGGAGGACATTCAAAATTGAAGAGAATGTCCGTCACCCGTTGTCCAACTGGCGCTTCTTTGTCTTCTATTTTTAACAAAATACAAAAAAAAAGAACCCTTATACTTATAGGAACAATAGAGAGGCGACTCTGGTTACTTACCATGGAATTATATATTATACACAACTTACTACTGATTGTCTTGATAAAGTCCTTTATAATTACATTATAATCAAAAAAGAAAGAAACTATATACAACTTACTACTGATAGTCCTTTACAGTTAGTTACATTATAACAATTTATCGATTCTATTTTTTTTTTTTTTTTTTTTTATAATATTTTGGATATATTACTTTTGATTTTAGATAATAATATTATACAAAGACAATTTTCCTGTAGAATTATTGATATTTG